CMMCMMCMWYMAAAAAAAAAGGGGGGGGGCATAAAGATAAAGGCTACTGAAAGAYATCTAAATTCAAGAACCAGCTCAAGGAAGCAAAGGACAATAAAAGGAGATTGTCAAAATGCTAAAGGCAACAAGGAGGGCTTTTTAAAGTTACAATTCCTGTCCCCAAAGGGGTGGTGTTGCAGAGGAACCCAGGGTTTCACACATGCTAGGCAAAGGCTCTACAAACATATCCCCCACTCCACAGTCAGCTTTTTAAAGTTACTCCTTGACAGAAGTTTTTGCCTTATTCACAGCATGTCTACATAATGTCTTATGCTTGAAAATAAAGGTCGACAAATTGTTAAATGAGGCGATTGTACTGATAGAGAAAAGTAATGTAAAAGCTAACTTCCATTTTCTAAAGAAAAGAAATGAAACTGAAATATATAAAAGTCAAAGAGGGGACTGGGGTTGTGGCTCAGTGGTAGAGTGTTTGCCTTGCATGTGTGAGGCCCTGGGTTCAATCCTTACCACCACATATAAAAAAATAAATAAATAAAATAAAGGTATTGTGTCCATCTACAACTAAAAAAAAAATATTTTAAAAAAATTAGAGAGGAACATAAAAGTARTATTATTTGAAGTCAGGTTCAAAGTGTTGAAGTTATCCCAGTGCATCTGAGAATATCAAGAGCAAGGGAAATATTTAATTATAGAAACCACAACATCCCCTAGTTTTTAAATAAAAGTGGGGAGACCTGAAGATACATGCAATGGCAAGAATGAAATGCCAAATGAGTGGTAAGAAGGAATGTGATCATCCTCAGATGCCAATGTGGAATCCTAAAACATTCTCATAGCAAGAAATACCATGTTACTGAGAAAGCACTAAAATGACAGATTACTAGGTATTAAACATTTTACAGTCTTTGAAGTATTAAGCTGATTTATCACTAAACACAATGATGTTATAATAATAACCTGAAGGAGTAGAAGACATAATAATACATTTCTACACTCACTATAAAATCTATAGCATGTATGCTCCTTGGTTTACAAGTCCCTTCATAATTTGTACCCATCTCAGCAACTCTTTCTTACCACATAGTTCCTAGTCCTACAGCTATACTTTTTTCTCAGGGCTACTGAATCTTTTGTTGCTTTTTGGCAAAAATACTCTTCTATAGATGGTTCTTTCACATTCATTAAGGTCTCTGTTTTACTATCACTGAATAAATAATGTACCGTTCCCCGTTTTTGTATATAAAATCTATTGCTGCACCCTTCCCATCCTTCACAATTCTAGCTTCTTTATCTGCACTATTGTTTCTCAAAGAACTTGCAGCCATTAGACATACAATTATAAGTTTACTGTCCAGCACCGTCAAAAGAACTTCAAGAACACAGAGCAGGAGTTAGCAAACTGCTAATGTAAAGAGCAGACAGTAAATACTTTAGGGCTTGGTGGGCCACAAGTTTGTCTCAACTGTAAATAAGCATGATTGTGTTCCAATGAAACTTGATTTTGTATTTCATGTAATTTATATTTCATGTAATTTAATGACATGGAATATTATTATTCTTTTAATTTTGTTTCAAATAATTMAAAAAAAATGAGCTCACAGAC